GAGTCGCACTTCACGCGCATTCAGCCATACGCCCTCGCCAGAAGATAAATAAGTAAATTGCTGTCCCGGCCCCCGTTTGTATATGTACTCTTTATTATATAGATTATATACATTCGTGTTACGGGGTATATACAAAAGCACGCACTTTATGCGCGATTTAAGGCATTTCAAGGATAATTCTGACTATGTGATTTTGGGTTCACGCACCGTCTTTAGAACGAACCCCCCNCGTAAGAAGTTAATCTTTTGTACTTCATTGCTATTGTAAGTGACGTGATGACGCAAAGAATTCGGGTAAAGCCTTGATCAAATTCTGACCCGACGAAAGTCTGAACCGCTTTGTAAGATCTGCAGTCAGAGAGAACAAAGAGTATTTAGTTTGGAATCAGCATCCCTTTCACAGGGCCTTGTCCCCTTCCACAAGTTCACGACATCCTCTCCCTCGTCCACCATTTAAGAAAGTAAACATTTTCATCCCTCATTCGAAGGGTGAAGTCAGAACGCGCTGGATGAGGACTGAGGCTGCGTTCCATTCGACAGGCTGCAGTAAAACTGAAGAGCTGAAAAAATGCTAGACCTATGCAGATGGATAATATTTTCTGAAATAAACTGAATAAAGAATTTGGACCTTGCTAGCGAACTCCGTGGAATTGAGCCCTTATTGAGAAACCAACAGTTGCGTATTTTTTCATGAAATTCCCAGAATTTTATGAAACCCGAGGGTCCATTGCAGTGGTTACAAGAGCTCGCCATTGGTGTCTATCCTGAGCCATGTGAAACTAGTCCTATTCCTCTAAGATCCTTTTTAATATTAGCCCCTCATCTACGTCAAGGGGTCCCTAGTGACCTCTTCAGGTTTTCATACAAAAACCCTGTATGCACTCTTCTCACCTGCGTTAAAGAAGTCGAAACACCATATAAATTTTAAAAATACTTATATAATTCAAGAGATGCCGGTCACGGTAGCCGAGCTGTCTTAAGGCATGCACTGTGTGCCGAGATCGTGGGTTGGAATCCCACTCAGGGCATGGATGTTCAGTGTTTGTGTGTTTGCCTGTTTTTCTGTGTTTGTGTACAGGTAGAGACCTTGCGATGAGCTGATCACAGGCCCGTGGAGTTCTGCTTAATGTCCAAGATCTGGTAAACTGAAGTGAAACGGAGGGTTTCATGGAGGTAGGCCAAGACACAAATGAGGGCTGTACAGCCAAAGGAAAAAAAAAAGAATCAAGAGGTCTGAAGGTGGTTCATTTGTAAAACTGTCTGTTCTTAACCCTTTAAAGTCCAGTACCATCTGCTTTAACATTAAAAAGAAAAACTCTTCATTAGACCATGCAGTGTGTTAATGTGCTTCATATAATTCTTACAGTAAGTAACAATTATTTCTTTATAAACCAGTGACTCGTTAATACTTATAATGGCGATTTAATGTGTTTTCTGTGAGGTAAGAATTTTTAAATTTCAGACTTCAAAGTGTTAAACACCATGTCATGGAAATGTATGGAGGAATAGAAGCATACTTCCGCACAGTTTTACGTCGGTATTAGATGGTGAGTTGATAAATTCACGCCTCGTCGGCTTTACACCCTAGGGACAAACCACAGAACCCCGAAGTCCATGGCAGAGGAGCCTGGGAGCAAACTGTTGTCTGAAATGGGAGCGAGAGAATCCGAAATTCGGCAGTCACGATGTCTATAAAAACGGCAGATGAAATGTTTCGAAGTCTTACCGTATTAGTTATTCCAGGCGTGACGCCAAAGATTCCATGAATTTTAAAGTGGGTCTTCATACATTGCTGCAACTTGTAAATATTTTCTCACTGCAAAAGCGGATTTAGTGAGGCCAGTTCTTTCCAGAAAGACTATAATTTTCAAAGAATATTCACTTAATATTCATGCTGTCATAAACTGAAATTTGTTTTCGGCGAAGAGGTCGAGACTGCGATGACACTTGGCGGCAAATCCCGTAACTACGACCACAGTTTTGTGTTATGGACATTTCTTGGGCATCCCTGTTGCCTTAGGCCTTTATGTATAGATGCATTTATTTCTTCTGCCTTTTGTATCAGGCCTTCTGGCCTGTTTACCATCATAACTAATGTGGAATTATGGAACTTGGACTCCTTGGACGGGTGATCAGCCCTTTAGCAAGGACGCTACATTTACAAGACAATACAAACATATAAAACACGCGGACAGACATCCATGCCTCGAGTGGGATTCGAATCCACGACCACAGTGTTTCAGCAGGCGGAGGCAGTTCATGCTTTAGACCGCGCGGCCACTGTGATCAGAATATATTTATTTATGGTTTGGCCGCGCCATAGCTCAAGCGGTTAGTCGCCAGCTTCCCACCGCGGCGGCCCGAGTTCTATCCCGGGTCAAGTCATGGATTTATTGTGGACAAAGTGGCACTGGGGCAGTTTCTTTTCAGAGTACTTCGGGTTCTCCTGCCAATTCTCATTCCACCGACTGCTCCACAATCACCCTCATCTATCATCTGGGGCTGGCACAATACGCCAAACAGTAGCTGCAGTACCAAGTGGACTGAGTCTCACCCGATGAGAAAAATAATAATAATATTTATGATTTATTTAACGACGCTGCCAGTAGCTCAGAATATATAGCGTGGAATGGTAGGGTGATTGTTGTCGGCCTCATTTAAGTATCATTTCGGCATTCGCTTGGAGGGAATCAGGTTAGCCGATGTCCCGACCGGAGTTCGAACTGAATACCTGAGGAATACAAGCCAGAAGCGTTATCGTTTGAGCCAACTTGCATGGTTCGGAGGGAGTGTATTTAGTTAGAACACCGTGATACAATTTGTGGTATCGATTCTGTCACTCAGTGCGGTCAGCCACGGCGAGTTGTGGACTATGAACAGACACAATAGAGGGGTTGACTTCAAGTGTGATGTTGAGGTAATGGAATATTCTCACAACCGTAGCTATTGTTGAATTTGAGACGTTGCCAGATAGTTCCCATGAACCGTAGCCCTTTGAAGCATTGATGTTCGTCTGAGTGATATATATACGTGGTACAATCATTAATTTCGTGGACTGTGGTTTTATCGCGTAATATTACAAGGTATTCACATACACTTACACAGATCCACATCGGCCCTCAAAATAATTGTCGTTGGCCGCTATGCAAGTCTGCCAACGTTGATATAGCTGCTGAAAACATTGCTGAAACATACTGGCAGGAAATTCCCATACGGCGTCTCTTATGGCATTGACGACCTCCTCGGACGACTGAAATCTATGACCACGTATCTTTGCTTTCAAGCGGTGAAAGAGAAATAAATCGCACGGTGCGAGATCAGGTGAGTACGGAGGGTGTGGCAAATCGGTGACCTGTTGCCTTGTCAGTTCCTCTTGGACAAGAACAGAGCGATATGCAGGGGCGTTGTCGTATAGCAACAGCCAATTCGTCCTATGCCAAATGTATCGCTAAGGGATTTGCCTAGTTTCTGGCAGAATTTGATGTTTGTCCGTTGTTAAAACTGCCACACTTTCGATTTACGCCACTCGCATTTAACTGCAGTACACAACAGAGGCCGTAGTTCTGCTTACACTGTTTGCACACAGCTGCCTCTTGCTGTGACGAGAGATGAACTGACAGGGTATCATATCGTGCCTCAATCTATCCGCTGTAAGGCACTGCAACGACGCTTTGCAGCCAGTCCACGAAATTATTGACTGTGGTAGTACAAAGTAGTTCTTACCTCGCAGGGAACACACTGCCACCCTAAGAGTTCTATGTTCTGGGATATAACGCCATGTGGTCCGTTGAAAGTCAACAGACCGTTGAATTTAATCGAAATGCACGGCGTTATATCCCAGAACATAGAACTCTTCATTACCACAGCTGTGAGAACCTGAAATCCTACTCACTGCATTCGGTTACAAGGAACACCTGGTTAATGCTGTTTAGGGGAATCATTACTGTTTATCGTAAGAATCTTATGAAGTACGTAAATACATTGTGTGGCCACAACGCACAGTTTGTGATTCTTAGAGGCGGTGGTACATATTGAAATCACTTGTCTTAAAGGTGTAACCGCACAGGGGTATCCGGAACTCGCTGGATACGAGGTTTTGTGTTCATCCTTACTAAATTTCTCCCCTCGAAAATCACACGTAATATTGCCAGGTATCCGGTGTTTGCGTGACTAATAAGACGGGTTTTGGATTTGATAATCGAATTTATTGGACCTTTATACAACTGGTTACAACAGTTCACAAATCGCTATCTGACACACTGTCATCTTCTTCCGACTGGACACTCTCGACTTCGTTACTCCGTTGTACTCCCTCAATTCTGATCTCAACTATAACTGACACCATTCTGATCTGTCTTCTCACTTTCCTCTGTCTTTTCTAGTCAGAGTTACTTTACTACTGGGGGTATACTGCCAATCAGTTCGTCTTGGCGACAAGCCTCTTGAGACTCACGACCAGTATTTTTTCCCCAACTTAACACTTGCGGTCATAGTCCTTATGTAACTACTTCTCCGACGATAGGATGGGTCTCGCCAGCGCAATTAATCTCAGATCCGAATCCTGCGGGACTCATGACCGCATTTTACTGTCTCAGATTCGAGACTTCCCCAACGTGGAGAGCCAGGTCCCCGTACTTAAATCCCCCAGAAACAGGGCGGCCCGGTTATATCCGCAGACACTGGGCTCCCTTTTCGTCGCCTCGTGCGACTTGCAGGACTACGGTGGAGGTATTGGACCCCGCCTCCACTCGACAATCTCCTAATGTTTTTGACATTGTTCTCCTCTTATATAGCATATCCGTATCCATGGAAGCTCCGGTTGATCACCTGTACCTCGTATTCATGGACACGTCTGGTTATCACATAGCGACGGACCGATTTCCAAGAATCTGTCTCCATGAAAATGTGTTTTGCCGTCTCCTTCCCTGGCAATGTGTCTACATGTCGCATTTCGGAAAATAGCACAAATGAAAAGAACTAAGAATTACGGGCACAAATCAATGGCTAATCAGGGCCCAATATTTCCAATTTTACAGGTGAGACTCAGTCGCCGTTACAGGGCGCAGATTGGGGCGCCAACTTTAGTGCTCCTGGAGGGCGCCACGGGACGCCTCATCACGAGTAGCGGCTGTGAGAGACTGGATGAAGATCCTGTTGGTGCTATGTTTCCGTGGACACCACGCGCCATCATAGATGTACTTAGGGAGGCCGGGCCCTATCTTCCTGGCGGTAAGAGAGCTGCTTCCAATTTGTCAGCGCCTGACAGCGAAGTTCGATACTCCGAGCTGGATGGTCTAGTCAAAGGAATATATTTCTCTGCGCACTGGGTAAGTTATATCGATACTGGTGCTTTATAATTCTCTGGGAGGATACAATAAAAAGATTGGAATTTTCTAGCAGAGCCATCATTGCAGACTTTAACAATTTAAACCTATATGATATACAAGTATCCGTTTCAGGAACTCTTTCATTCATCACATTTCTACAGTGCACACGTGTTGACCTGTACACTTCGAATAAGAGTACGTCATACCTAGTGTAGGTCACTTGCAGAAGAAATGTCCTGAGTGAATTACGTATGTCTGCAGAGTTCTGTCTTATCGAACCGGGTCTTGTCAAGTGGGATTTGTGGTGGGCAAAGTGGCGCTGCGACGGGTTTTCTCCGAGTACTTCGATTTCCCCTGCCAATCTTCATCCCACCAAATTCTCCATCATCATAATCACCCAGGGCATGTACAATACGCCAAACAGTGGCCGCCGTGCCGAGTGGACTCAGTTGGACTCCCCCCCCCCCCCAATTAAGCGAAACGTGTAATACGCCAGAGTTACTCTACGACTGGCGGTTTACCGCCAATCAGTTCGTCTTGGCGTCAAGTCTCTTGACACTCACGACCAGAGTTTTTTTTTTTCAACTGAACTCTTGTGATAATCAGGGCGTGAAGCTGACCACCTCCAACTAGTGCCGAGGTCAAGAAAATGTGGAAATATACATCCACTCTCCCATACGTCTTTATGGCGTAGTGCTTAATTAGTTACGCACAAGGACAACTTTATCTTTACTTTACTCTTGCGATAATCGTCCTTATGTAACATCCCAGGAGATAGAACTCATCACAACCACCGCTGTGAGAAGCTCAGGTCCTGCATATGTCTGAATATTTCACCGATGTATGAATACCAGAAGCATGTGGAAAACAGATTCAAGTTGAGCTCCGTGGCAGATGGAATATATAAGAGCACGGATGTTGGCAATGACACTGGACTCATTTAAATCCAGCCCACATTATCACGCCCTTTCCCTTAAGATCCGTGTTCCTCTGCGTTATGCACGTTGCGACGATCGAGTTTCTGATTTGATCTCCCTAATAACACAGATGAAGAACACAACGAATGTCGCTCATTGCTTAACACGGACGGGAACAAGTGCTACATGCAAAATCTGGAGAGAACCCGTAATATCAGATAAAAAGTAAAGCTATCCCCGTAACAGGCCATGAAGGCCCATAGGGTTGTCAGACGTCGAGGCTCCCGAATTACCTAGATAATCGGTTCACAGATGGCAGTGAGGTTGTCAGCCTTACGCGCTGGCAGCCCTTTACCCCCCAGGAAGGTACCTGGTACTCATTTCTGTTAGAGGCTGAGTTCACCCCAGGGCCATTGTACGGCTGGAAGGATTAGGTCAATTGAAAAAATCCACCTCATAGGGACTCGACCTTCAGGCTTGTAGCATAGTGTCTCAACCAACTACGCTACGGCGTCCCCCCCCCCGTAATATCAGATACGTTTTAAATTAAGACTTAATACTTGCTTCGTCATCTCACTCTTCAGCCCTGCAGATGGAGATAGTATGTTTCTCCTAAAAATCCGGATACTTCTACCACACTACACGGCGGCACATCCCAGAATGTATTCATCACTATGAATCTTGTTAGAGCATTCTGCATTGTGCGTCATACATTGTTTGAGGATTTATATTTTTCAAAATTTAAAATATATAGTTTTATAAATTTCGACGTTTCGGGTCTGTCTTCAGGGAAAATGGTGAAGAAAAGAGGAGATGTATATTCTGTAAGGTGCGTTATGTAAACCCATTCAACGTCATGACCTTCATACCTGGTTTTGAGAAGACCGGTTCACAGGATACGGTGTTATTTATATAAGTGAACAGCGACCTGAAACTCAGTAGGCCACTAATGTGAGTTGATGCAGAGGCTAACCTAAATCACTCAGCCGAAGAGGCGAGGCTGTCCCGAATGCTAATCTTGATAATCGATCGGTTGAAAACATCCAGTATAACACAGCTTTGTGTTGTTACAGTGTCCACCCTGCAAAGCTTTCACTCCCCAACTCGTCGAGACGTACAGCAAACTCCGGGCGAGAGGACATAACTTCGAGGTGATATTCGTCAGCTCCGACAGGTAGGCCACACAAACTTCCTCACTGAAGTTAAGCTTAGTTTGCACACAAGAGGATGCTACTGAGACCAGTTTCTTGGGGTGGACTGAATCCACTTGGTACTTCGGCCACTGTTTGGACTATTGCACCGGCCCCAGATGATAGATGATGGTTATTGTGGAGCAGTTGATGGAATGAAAATTGGCAGGGAAAACCGAAGTACTCGGAGAAAAACTTCCTCAGTGCCACTTTGTTCACCACAAATCTCACATGGCCTGACTCGGGCTCGAACCCGGGCCGCCGCGGTGTGCAGCCAGCGATCAACGCCTGAGCTATGACCCCAACTGAGACTATATGTTAGCTGTATGTGTATGTAGTTCTCTGCTGAAGATAAGTTGGAGCACTTCCTCTACACTCGTTGGTTTCTAAACTGGGAGGCGTTTCCACGGGGGAGGCGCATGAGTTCATGATAAGAAAATTTAAATATCAGAGCCAGATGAGATAATTGATTTTTGTCGCATGTTTCGTGAGCATCCCCCAGAATTTTTTAATCTATATGTAAAGAAATAGGGGCACGCGGTAGCGTAGTTGGTTGAGGCACTATTCTACAAGCCGGAAGGTCGCGGGTTCAAGTCCTGATGAGGTCATTCGATTTTTTCTTCAATTGACCTAATCCTTCCAGCCGCACTATGGGCCTGGGGTCGACTCAGCCTCTAACAGAAATGAGTACCAGGAATCTTCCTTGCGGTAAAGGGCGGCCGGCGCGTAAGGCTGACAGCCTCACTGCTATCTGTGAGATGACTGTCTAGAAAAAGTGGGAACCTCAACATCTCACAACTCTATGGGCCTCCATGGCCTGTTACAGGGATAGCTTTACTTTACTTCACTTACGTTTATGTAAAGAAATAAGCGATTATATTTCAACATTTTTGGGCATGACATCGCCGAATGAAGTGGACGATGTAGCGTATTCATTTTAACATTTTGCATTCTTGACTCTCGGTTTTCGATCGATACTAATTTCGAGTTAGTTGACCATAAACAACAATTCACATAATATGTTACTGTAGACGGGGGTTTGGATTGGATATTGGATTTATTGACCACTTAAATGTAGTAACTACGAATAATTATAATACTATCGCTGTTTTCACACATCGCAAAATCACGTTAAGTCTTTTCCAGTCCGCACTGTCTTCACTAGTAGTTGCCTGGTAACGACTTCTAACAATGGCTCTTTCCTCTGCTACTGGGCTCAAGTCCTGTCTGTACGGCGGCTCCCTTCTAATTACCTATTTTTCTTCGGCTGTCTTCCATATAACTCCTTTGCACGGACCGAGTATAAAACACCGCTTCCAACAGTACTTCTATTGCATGCGTATCCGTTGCAGCGGGAACGTGTTTACCAAGCCATTGCCTGAAAACGGTTCTGGTATATTTTCTTATCTCGCGGTCGTTGCATAGTAACAGCTGTACACGCCACAATAATATAAATATGGGTGCAAAAAGATACATTTATTTCAGTAAAACATGGGAAAAGAGCACAAAGTTATAGTGGAAGTTTGGGGAGCACTGCTGCAGAATGTTATCTTAGTATCGGAAATTCAAAATAAATTTTTTAACGAAATTAATATTTCCATAATGTCTTTAGTAGTATCTGATTTACAGTGCACCTGTAAGCTTATTTTCTGTCTATTCTTCTCTCTCTAATCTCCTCTTCCTTCCCGCCTCTATTCGTGTGTTTAATCACGTATTTATTGCCTGGTAGTCTTCAAAGCCTCATTCACATGTCTCCCAGGTCTCCATGTTACCCTTCGTCCTGTAGGTTTATTACTCCACGCCGAGCACCAAACTGAAGCATGGAACAAGCCAAATGGGATGCGTCTTGTGTTCATTGCTTGACTAGCGTACCTCAGACCAGTGTTCCGCAACCGGTGTGCCGTCACAAGGTGAAAGTGTGACGCGAACTTTTACCTATTATAAGAAATTAACTGTCGAATTTTATTCGTTTCATCTTATCTCTGTTACCTTTTTTCATATGCTTGTATTTTATTCTCAGCTACTGTACTGATTAAACAAGATGATGCTTGTTCATTCTTTATTACATTCTGTTATTTTTTATGTACAGTAATATTGTATTCTAAGAAATTAAGCGTAAATTATTTACTCACAGTTGTTGTTATATCATAGTATTATTATTGATTTATTTTTATTTTTCTCGCATCTACGCAGCTTCTTTGATATGCTCGCCGCATGTTCTGTGTACGTGCTTTTCCCTAAAACTGCAGGGATTAGCAAGGGTTTCCCAGTCTTTTATAACGCTGTTTGGGTATTTGCCCCTGTTTGTTAGAAGTTAGAGCTCATTCAACTTTATGACTTTCTTCCTGTAACGATGCAACCACCGACTGTTGGACTTCATTTAAAATTATAAATATTTCAAAAATAAGTCGGTATAGTGTCACTTCTTCCGTTTGAAGAGTAGAGATCCCGCGTTTTACAGTGTTTCAGTTCTATCACAGCTGTGCTCTGAAGTAGTTCGCAAATTTTTGTTGCTAGTTAGAGAATTACAGATGGGTCGTTTGAGATGTCCCCGACTGTATGGCCACTTGCTGACGGCAATAAAGTGGTGATGGACACAATTAAAGAACACTTAGAAATGCTGCAGCAGAAATTCAATAAGTATTTTGGAGAGAGTGTACAAGATTCCGACTGGGTTCGCCATCCATTTGTTGTGAATTCAGAACATCTTACGGTTAATATACAAGAGGAACTCGGACATGAAAAAGCAGACAGAACATTGAAAATAAAACGTCTCGATGTGCCTTTGGATACGTTTTGGTTGGCAATAAGGAGTGGATACCCGGCTATCTCCGAGATGGCAGTTAATGTGTTACTGCCATTTTCAACTACATATTTGTGTGAAGTGGGCTTCTCGACGTTAACTGAAATTAAGACATCAAAGAGGGAGCGGCTCAAATCCATCGATGAAGAAATGAGACTTGCGTTGTCAACGATTCCACCACGGATCAGTCGCCTGTGTGCAGCTACGCAGGCGCAAGTATCACATTGAGGGTATGGGTAGAATTACTGTATTTTCTTTAATAGTTATAGAAGTGTATTTTCTGCACTCTACAGTGAATTAAAGTTCATTAATTGTTAATAAATTTCATGAGTCGATTTCTGTTTAATGATAATAATAATATAATAATAAGTTGATCACGATACGTATTTATATTAATTGTCTGATATGCGTTTTTGAGGGGAATAACATTTTGGTGTGCCGTGTTGAGTCATGGATACTTCATGGTGTGCCGCGAGTAGAAAAGGGTTGTGGAACACTGCCTTAGACCCTGAAGGTGGAGGCAGTATGTTACACGGCGTCACCTCCCACAAGGCAGTAGTCTTCATACTTTTACTGAACGGAAATAGAATCAGATTCAGAAACGTCGTATTTTAGCCAAGGGGCACTAAGGCTACAAGTAGGAAGGTCGCGGGTTCGATTCCTGGTGAGATCATTGGATTCTTAAATTGACCTAATCCTTCCAGCTGCACTGTGGTCCTGGGGAAAGGCTGACAATTTTACCGCCATCTGTGAGCCGATTGTCTAGAACATGTGGGAGCCTCGACGTCTCACAACCCTGTGGGCCTCTTAGCCTGTTACATGAATAGCTTTACTTTTTTGTATTTCAACCAAAAACGACAAATGCATAACGTACGGGGCAGCCTAATATCGCGCCCCCATTAAACTTTCTAGATTTATCATACCCACGGATGTAAAGTTTCTGAACTTTCCCGTCTTTCATGATACGAACTCTTTCCCTAAAAAAAGAGTTTTCATGAATCGAGTGTTTTCTTTCTCTCGTCGTTCTAGTTCTAAAAACTAAGAAGTTTAAGTGGGTTATGTAAATTTAGCACAAATTAAGCAGAAAACACTGAACTCGTTTTCTGTGCAAAGTATTCCAATTAAATTCCTAATCTTCCTGCCTTTCATTAGAAAGAAAAACGATATTCTTTACTCCGCGTTTCTTTCCCCGTGCCTTCTGGTTCTTCTCTTCTATGGTTTCTCCAATACTTTGTAGTTCGCATCCCAAAGCAGAATGGAAACAAAGCTAGAACATCTGGTACTCACAGATACGCCCATTCGGATGGCCGGCAGAGTTTCACAGGTTCAGCCGACTGCTCTAACGTTACGAAACATGAGATGAATAGCAATTTAGAAGTGGCTTTAACATGTCTGTTCATCCAACAGAACTCGGAGAAGGGAGGGCGGTACACGAGGTCGGAGCGAATTGTATAATGAGGAGCTTCATAATTTATAATCTTCAAATAATATTGTAACGATTTGATCAACGCGTTGCCAGGCAACAGCTCTGTAAACACGGTCCAACACGTAACAATAGATGAGGCTGTGTTTTCTATGTTGCTCGCGCTGAGTAGCGGCGGAACAACAGAGTTATGCAACCCGTTTCTAAGAAACGACTTGGTAAACACACTTCCGCGTAAGCGATGGCATCATCAATAGAGACGGTGTTTTATATGGGGTCTGTGCAGAGTGCTTATAAGAGAAGCGAACGCTACTGCATGCCACTCTTCATGGCATAGTGCTTAATTAATTAAGCACAGGGATAACTTTACCATTACCTGCTAGATAAAGATATTGTACACGGTCAGCTTGATGCAGCGGTTCGCTGAAACCAGTAGCTGGATTATATTGAAGGCAGAACCCATACCAGTTCTTCCACATTTTATGACGCCCGTCCGCTCCCCCCTCCCCCCCCCCCCCCCCCCCCCCCCCNGGTGCTGCACACCCTCAGGACCACGCTCCAGTCAATAAAATGCATGCATGCACGTATGTGGGTGGTCTATGTAGTAAGGGGCACTGGAGCGCGCGCACACAACTGATGCGATGAACGGACGGACTCGGGAGGAAACGGAGTAGTTACGCGTAATTAATATCGTGGTATGTGAAGTGTATGAAAGTGTAAGCTGCACAGTTAATTTGCATTTGTTGAATTTGTTCTCA